CTGCCACGCCATGTGGTCACCTCCGGGGCAAGCGGGAATCGAACTCATGCGGAAGCGGCTTTTAGATTCTCAGTGCTGTGCTTTAACCCGCTGCGCCACCAGGGAGGGCCGTACCACATCTTTTTAATCCAGTCATCCACTTTTGGAAATTGCCACACCTCTTAAGTATTCAGTTCAGCATATTTTGACAGTTTCATGCACCATATCGCCACCATTCCAAGACAAGCTGTAGATTTGTTAGCTCCCCTTGGCCCTTTTCACCCAATTTCTGTCCCCCTCAAGCAACCACTGTTCTGATTTCTGCCATTAGAGATTAGTTTTGCCTGTCCTGGGGTGGTACAGGAATGGAATCATGTAGGCGCCTCCCTGGTGGTGCAGAGGTTAAGTCTCAGCACTCTGAAGTTATCTCCAGCCACGCAGCATCATCAGTTTGATCCCAGGCCAAGGAGCTGACCCATAGGGTGCAGCGACCTGTCTCCCCGCTGCTCCCTCTGCAGTGTGTTTCAGAAGATCTGCCTGTTCTGCTCCCCACTGTCTGGTGAGACCTCTCACTCCCCTGCACCTCTGGCCTGCACCCCAGTTCTCTCTGCATAAATAAATAAATATTAAAAAGAAGAAGAAGAAGAAGGAAATGGAATCATGTAGCATGTATACTTTGGGCTTGGTTTCTTTTGCTCCATGTAATATTTTTGAGTAAATGTCAAAGGAAACACACACACATTTATCTGAAATTCAAATTTAGCTGAATGTCTGTGTTCCTACCTGCCAGACCTGGTGGCTGTGGTCCCCAGGCATCTCCTGTCCAGGGTTGGGAAATGAGCTTGGCAACCTCACAGGGGACTTTTTAGCCTGCCAGGTGTGGGCTTATGCTTTGCTTCATGCAGGCGACGGTCTCCATCGTGGGGTTAAGTCTCCAGAGTGTTAGGAATGATCAGTAAACCTCAGCATTATCAGGGAAGTTCAAATTCATCAGGCCTTAGCCTGATTCATCCCTCCTTAGCTCCGATTTTGTTCAAATAACGTGTTTCGTCAGGACCACTCCACTTAAAATTATAATGTAAGACTCAATCCCCTTTAACTGATTTCATTGGTTTTCCTAGGGGTAATCACCTTCTAATAGGATATAATGTTTTATGCAATCTATTTATAGTTAGAGTCTCCCATTGGAATATAAATGCGATAAAGTCTGGATCTTTCTGTTTTCCTTGCTGTTTTCTCTCCAGTGCTGGAATCAAAGCCAGGAACACATGAGGGGCTTGATAAATACTTTTTGAAAAAAATACAATGGGGAGATGGAAATTCTACAAAGCTCCCCACCCAGTTTCCCCTAGTTTTACAGCACCGTGATCTCTTTGTCACACTAATGGATGATCTTGAGACATGAATATTAAACAGTGCCCTGCTCAGGTCACGTGCAAGGCAGCACGTCACATTTAGTCACTTCACCATTGAGTCCCCTTGGCTTCCTCCAGACTGTGAAAGTTTCTCAGACTTTTTGTCAATGACCTTGACAGTTTTGAGAAGTTCTGGGAGGTATTTTGTAGAATAACTTGAAAAACACTGGAATTTGATATCTCTTTTAAAAAAGGATTTTTGTTCATGCATACAGGAACTGGGGTACAGGCGAGAGGTGGAGGGGAGGTGTGGTGAGAGACAGAGTGGGGAACAGAACAGGCAGATCGACTGAGACACACTGCTGAGGGGAACAGTGAGGAGACAGGAGAGGTCTGCTGTGCCCGGTGGGTCAGCTCCCCAGGGGGGGATTGGAATTATGCCACAGTGGCTGTGGGTAGTTTCATCATGCTGTGCTTTAACCCCCTGCGCCAGCAGGAAGGGCCTTCTTTGCATTATATTTGAGTTATTGTTCCTGGTGTCTTTAAATGGTCATCTATTATTTCGCCCACATTACATTTTCCTTAAAAAAGAGTACTAGGGGCCCTCCTTGGTGGTGCAGGGGGTTAGGACGCAGCAAGCCAGGCTGCAGCCACTTCAGT